CAGAGGCAGCATGAGGTTCTTGTAAGTGCGTAAACACTGAGCTCTGCCTCCTGTCAGATCAGAGGCAGCATGAGGCTCCCCTAAGTGCACAAACCCTACCGTTAATCGCACATGTGAGGGATCTAGGTGGCACACTCCTCATGAGAATCTAATGCCTGATGACCTGTCACTGTCTCCCATCTCTCCCAGATGTGACCATCTTGATAGTTGCAGGAAAACAAGCTTAGGGCTCCCACTGATTCTTCATTATAGTGCGTTGTATAATTATTTCATTACATGTTACAATGTAATAATAACAAAAATAAAGTACACGATAAATGTAATGCACTTGAATCATCACGAAACCAGTGCCCCCACCCCTGATGGGGGGGTGGGCTTCCACAAAACGGTCCCTGGTGCCAAAAAGGTAGGGGACCACTGATAAGAGTCCATCACTGAATTGTACACTAGATTAAAGCAGCATAGCTCAAAAGAACTTTTACAATACTAATCATCTTTCTATGTAGAAGTTCTTCTAAAATGCTAACCATACAACCAACCAGGGAACGTTCTCGTTTCCTCCTAGTACAGGGTACTTTCGTGGCATCAGTTTTTCTAACAATCCTGGTATATGAACATGACATCCCCCCACCCCCTACTCCTTTTTTTTTGAGACAGAGTCTCACTCTGTCAGCCAGGCTGGAGTGCAGTGGTGCAATCTCAGCTCACTACAACCTCCGTCTCCCAGATTCAAGCAATTACTCCTCCCTCAGCCTCCCAAGTAGCTGGGATTATGGGCGCATGCCACCGTGCCCAACTAATTTTTGTATTTTCAGTAGAGACAGACTTTCACTATGTTGGCCGTGTTGGTCTCGAACTCCTGACCTCAGGTAATCCGCCTGTCTTGGCCTCCCAAAGTGCTGGGATTACAGGTGTGAGCCACCATGCCCAGCTGACATCCCCATTTTTAAAGAAAGAGAGTAGGAGAAATTAACTTTCCCAAGGAATTTCAGTTGGTAAGTCACAGAACTTGGATTAGAATTCAAATTTGACTCCAAAGTTTATGCTCTTTCCCTTAGAGATCAATTGTTTTGTTTGCACAGAAGAAATCACAGAAATTAGAACATTTAGAGTTTAAGCAATTAATTCTTCATATACTTGACATTTTTCTAAACTTGAATAATACTGGTTAAATAGCTTCACTAGGCTGCATGACTTTCCTTAAGTTAAAACCACAGCAAATCATTATATGAACCAGTTCACCCTGCTAAGAATTCTGTTTTATAGTCACATTTAGTGACCCCAATTTTACGTAAAGTTTTGTGTAATTTCACAACTAATAAAAGAAATCCTAAAACTAGAAGGTTAACAGGATCTCTGCAAGTGAAAAAGAGAAACTTTCAAACTACATTATTCTCTATTGTTTCATATTTATTCTCATTTATTAATTTTTAATTACTATTATTACTTTTTTGAGACAGTTTTGCTCTTGTTGCCCAGGCTGCAGTGCAATGGTACGATCTCGGCTCACTGCAACCTCCACTTTCCGGGTTCAAGCGATTTTCCTGTCTCAGCCTCCTGAGTAGCTGGGACGCATATGCCCACTACCACATCTGGCTAATTTTTTGTATTTTTAGTAGAGACAGAGTTTCACCATGTTAGCCAGGCTGGTCTTGAACTCCTGACCTCAGGTGATCTACCTGCGTTGGCCTCCCAAAGTGCTGGCATTACAGGCATGAGCCACCATGCCTGGCCATTTATTCTCATTTATAAATAAAATATATAGGTTCCTTGAAAATAGGGTCTACATCACTGATTTTTTTTTTTCCTCTCTCTCCCCGTGGCATCTTATAAAGAAAAAACCTCTTGAAGAAAACATTTATTCAGCCAGGCATGGTGGCTCATGCCTGTAATCTCAACACTTTGGGAGGCCGAAGCAGGAGGACTGCTTGAGGCCAGGAGTTCAAGACCAGCCTAGGCAACACAGTGAGATTTGTCTCTACTAAAAAAAAAATGTTTAAATCAGCTAGGCATGGTGGTGCCTGTAGTCCCAGCTACTTGGCAGGCTGAGCAAGGGGATCATTTGAGTTCAAGGTGAGCCACTATTGCACCACTGCACTCTAGTCTGGGCAACAGAGTGAGAACCTCTTCACAGAGGGGAGCGGAGGGGAGAAGAAAAAGAAACAGAAAGAAAAGAAAGGAAGAAAAAAAAGAAGAACATTTATTCTTTCACATTGCTCTTAAAGTACTCACTAATTACTACTTGAAAGCTTATGAGCAAGACATCAATTCTGTAGGTTACCTGGAGAGGAAGAAAAGAAATTCATACCTGAGATATCTTCTGGCATGTTCATTTTTATGACCGACCATGAGATAGTAACATCCCACTGCAAACCAAGACACCTAAAAAGTTCAAAATGTACCATAACCAAAGACTGCAATTGGAATATCCAATTGGAATCTGCAACAAATTAGGGTAGACAGAGGGTACACTAGATGTTTCTTATCACATATTCTAGTTACGTTAGACATTTCTCTAACACAGTCTACTAAGGTCCAAAAGGAGAAGAGGGCAGACACTCCGTGGCTCTTTCTCAAGGAGACGTCTACAAAAGACAAGGCCCCTGGAGTCCCTGTTTCAAAAACCAGCCTGTGAGTCCTGACCCCCTGCACTGCTCATCTCCTCCAGCGTCCTGACCCCCTGCACTGCTCATCTACCCCAGCGTCCTGACTCCCCTGCACTGCTCATCTACCCCAGCGTCCTGACCCCCTGCACTGCTCACGTCCCTCAG